CCAAGGCCGCGAAGGCATTGCGCGAAGTTATCACGGGCGTGCTCTCATCCTCCTTTCCCCGCCCCAGCTGGCATTGCAGCTTCCTCCGCTTGGGCCGGGGCTCTCCTCGCCCTTCTTTCTCCTCACATTCTTCCTCATCGGGCTGGAAGAGACTTTCGACAAAATCCTGCACGCTCTCCACGGTCGTGCCTGCCAGCGCGGATGGCGTTCTTGTCGATGAATTTCTCGCGTTGACGAAGGTAGGTGGGGCAATCAAGCCCTCCCGCCCACGCCCCCGGGCCCGGCGTCTCCGTGCCTCTGCTTGGTGAAACGCCCGGCTCCGACTTTCCCCTTGTCTCCTTTCAAGGAGGTTGCGGTAGGCCTCATCAAACTCTGGATTGGATCGGGGCGCTTTCTGGCGGTTGCTGGGCTTTCCACGGCTGGGGTGGGGGGCCAAGTGGGAGAGGGAGGATGGAGGAGAGGGAGCAGAAGAGCCGCGGCCGCGTTTACGAATTGGTGCCATCGAGGCACTAACGAGTGGCACACATGGCAGAGTCGACAGTGTCGGAGTTTTCTTGGAGGGTGTAGCGTGCAATGATCGGCCAAGCGCTGTATCGAATTTCGATATGGACAACTGAATGGTTAGACGTACACGCACACTGAGTATCAGGGGAACGGTTTCTCTGGGAAACTTACACAGAGTCTTGCCGCTACCGCCGCTGCCACGCCCACGTTTCTTCTTGCCCATGACGTGACACTCAGTTGCGGGCACGTCTGTGAAACGCAAAAAGTACTGGTGTGTTTGGTAAATTCGATGGTAGCCCCCTGCGGTCCGCCCCCCAGGACTCGCATGTCGCTGCTTCGCTGAGAAGGGCAACTTGTTCCTTTTCCGTGCCGCCAGCCTGCCTCTCAGCCTGAGTACAAGCCGAACCACGCACGTTCCTGGTTTTCGGTTCATCTAACATATGCCACGCCGGATATTCTGTGCTTTCCTACAGACAGGAGTGACCTCGACGACACCTGACCATGCCCTCCGATGCCTCCCTCCCCTCCCACGCAACCCCCAACCCTCCACCGGGACATGTCCGAGACCGAGTGCGTGCTCATGCCGCCCTCAAGGTAAGGGAAACTTGGTGGAAAATGTGCCGGTTGTGGAGCTTCGAAATTTCAAGCTTTTTCCTGGAAGACCGGTTCAAGAATCTCAGTTGTAGGAACACCGGGATAAAGATGCCACTCGGTCCTTCCCCTCTCAACACCTTTCCTTCAGATTTTCACGGTCATCAACTGGATCACCATCATCGCGGCGATCCTGGCCGCCATTGCGGAGCTATTGAGTCTAATATACACGAAGCCCAGGACCTTGCCAGGCTTCACTGTCCGCCTCTACTGCCTCTTCTTCCTCCTCGTCATCGTCCTCTCCGAGATTGAGTGGAGCAAGCCCGTCAGAGACAGCGCCATCACCACCTCCTGGTTCTGGCGCGGCGCCTTCCAAGTCTTTGTGGCCGCCTTGGTTTACGAGGTAAGCCAGTGTCTTTATCGTGGACGCTCTGTCAATGCTCATGCCGCGTTATCTCCCTGAAAGGCCGCCCTCGAGGCTCGGTACCCCCTCATATCTAGACGTGTCTACCTGCTGGCATGAGGGCATCGATGATCTGGTATCCACACTTTTATTGGTCTTCAACATGCATGGAAGACCTTTTATGCCTAGGCATCCTCGCGGGCCCCACATTCTTTCCTCTCTTCCCCCACCCAGATGCAGCCAGGGGGCGACAACCTCTCCGCCGTCAAGCGGAACTTCATCGCCTTCGCTGCCATCGTCCTCCTGGTCGTCGGCTTCCTATATGCAGCAATGGGGCTGTGTTTCGTGAAGAGATGGAGGGACACGCAGCTGGCCAAGTATAGGACCATGCGGGCCCACGCCGAAATGGCTGACGCACTCCAAAACGACGCGTCATTGGCAGGTTCACCCCAGGCGTAATTAGGATTTTGCCTGATGGTTGTGACGGTGCGTGCAGGGAGGAGTAGGGCGAGTTCCACTGGACGGAACCTGAGTCATCGCATTGAAAGTTAAAACTGAAAGAAAAATCCGGCATGCGCCAACATTGTAGAATTTCGCATTCGTTGCTGTCGATGGCGACATAGGGCCATGCACCGCTCTTGCTTCATTACAGACGCTTAGCCCCCCACAGGAGGGCACTGCACACAACCTTGGTGCCTTGCGCCAACACCCCGGCCCCGTCCTCGCTACCCGCATCCTCTCCATCCATTCCCAAACCATCCCGTTTCTCTTTCATGAATCTTTTGAGCGCGGACGCCGAGGTCCCCCCCCGTGATCCTCGAGCTCGTTCCACCTCCACCAGGCGCCTCACGTTCGAGTCCAGAGCCTCCTTCAGCGAGGCCCTCAACCCTATTCCAACGTCGCCTACGATTGTGTTCGATGGGATTGGCAAATGACGCAGCAAAATCCCTACACTACTGCCTAGGGGCGTCAATAAGGAAGGTCGTGCGCGCGTGGCGCGGAGGAGAGACCGGAGCTCCTCGTCTATAGGGGATGCACATGTACCATCTTGATATCCAGACCGAAGGGCCTCAGCGACCTCGGCAATCCGCACGAGTGCGTGGTACTCTTGTAATTGCTTGCGAGATTGTCCCGTGAATGCGGCCTGAGTTGCCTCTGAGGCTTGTTGTGAAGATGGAAGTGTTGACTCGGAGGGAAAAGATGAAAGCGTCTCGGTCGCGAAGCGGCGAAGGCCGAATGGCCGGTGGACGCTGGCTTTAGCCAATAGAGAGCCCGCGCCGCGCATGCTGTGCAGATAGTGCTCTATTGAGTTGGTTTGAAGATGGTACGTGAGAAAAGGAGACCTGAATGACCAGTTATGCGCCCTCGTGGAACACGAGCATGCATCGCCCTGCTTCAAGACAGTGACGTCAGCCTCTACCAGAACGCAACATGTCCTCGTTTTCCTACATGCACGCTCTTGAGCAGCCCCATTCTTGACTCGACCTTACTTGCACACGTTCTATCGGTATCAATCAAGAGCCTGGCTGCAAAGATGAGTGTTGTAATATTAGGCGCGACTGGTAACGTCGGCCGTCACATCGTGCAGGCATTGCTCGACCTGGGCGGGAGCCTCGTGACCCAAATCGTAGCTTGCACTAGACAGCCCCTTTCCGGGCCTGCCATGGCCCTCAAAGTTGCTGCAAATTCCTCACGCACAAGATTATGCCTGGCCAAGGTGGACATGATGACCTCCGACGTGGACTCCCTCGCCGCGATCCTCTCCGGGCACGAGGTGGTGGTCCTGGTCATGGCCCAAGGTCTCTCGCCCGAGGAGATGGTTGGCTGCCAAAAGGAAGTGGCTGAAGCGCTGTCGCGAGGGATGGACAAGCACGAGAAGCAGCCCTCCGGAAATCCGCCTCTCTTGGTGAAGTTGTCGTCCTACGGCATCGATGGGCCGCTGTCTCAAGGCCCTTTGGGGGATGCACATCGAAGGGGGGAAGATCTCTTCCGGAGCAAGAACCTCCCGTTCGTCTCGCTCCGCCCCACTTCCTTCTTTTCCAACTTCGAGGCTTACGACTGGCCGTCCTTGCGGGCCGGGGGCCGCGTGATCAGGAGTCCCTTGGGCCCTCACGCGCGCGTCAATTGGGTAGCGTGTCAAGACATCGGGCGGGTGGCTGCGGCGGTGATCCAGGAGCATCTGGAAACATTGGGCAATGGACGCCAGGCATCTTTACCAGTCTTTCGGAAGGTGGACGTGGTAGGGCCCGAGGGCAACACGCTGAGCGCGCCGGAGGTGTGCCGCGTGGTGGGGGAGTGCCTGAAAAAAGAAGGCACGGGCCCCGGGGATGTTGAGCGGGAGGTGCGCTACGAAGAGACACCCTTACCGACGACGGAGGCCTATCGAGGTCTGTGGACCTTTTTGAGAGCGGGCGGCTTTGACGTGGCGGATGGCCCGGGGAGCGAGAGCGGACGGCTGCTGGGAGGGAAGGCGATGACGGGGTTCCGCGACTATATCGAGGGCCTGGTGGAGGGGATGGGCGAGGCAGAGACACGGGGCCTCCCGCTGAATTGAAGGGGGAGGGGGAAGCCTCGCGAATAGGGACTCTTTTCCGAGGGCTCAACAGCCTCAAGACCGCAAAGCCGACTCAATACAAAGAAGACTTCCCAAGCCTTTGCTCGTCATGGGACGCCTCGATGTCCCTTTCCTAATCACGTGTATAGATTTTCATTTGCATAGAATGATGAGGCCCACTGTCGTATCACTCATCACGCCTTGGAAATAGAGGCACTGTCTATTACGAGCGTTATCTATTGCCAATACGAAAGCGGGATTATTGTTTACGTTGAACCAAACATGTAATAAAAGACAGAAAACCCGTAGCGATCATGCTGCACCCCAAGTCGGGAGAAATCTCATCTTTCTATGAAGCATGTTGTGTAATTTGTTGTCATGACCACGCCAAGATGGCTCGTTTCTCGTTTACTATGGTTACCTCCCCTCTCCGTAAGCTGGTTTTATGCGCGTCGATCAGAACTGATGAGGAAGCGCAGGCCGGTGTAACACGCACAAATTATCAATCCTTACCAAATAAAAGTCCACGATGCCAAGTAAAAGGTCCCCAAGCCGATCAAAATGACTCTCGTGTCACCCGTACTCTGGCAACGTTCCTGAGCGGGCGCCTCGCTGATATGTCACGGCGAGTATCAAGGACGCACAGAGCTTGACAGCACGTCTTCCACTATAGCACAGGGTGGAGGAGGAAAACAAAGGAAAGCATGGTGAAAACCAAGTTTACGACTCCCGATGTCCGCGCTATGGTGAGTATGGGATGGCAAAGTCTATATTTATTTTTGAAAATCGCGTCCAACAAGGCGAAATATCACATTGCCACCCATTTCTACCCGTCGGAGGAATTTAGGTGAGGGATTTACGGACAAAGGTGCTGGGATTGAAGGTGGTAAATATCTATGACATAGACAACCGGACATACACGTTTAAGCTGGCTGTACCGGGTGGAGAAAAAGTCACTTTGCTGTTGGAGTCGGGCGCCCGCTTCCATACAACGGCCTATGCACGTGAGCGCAGTGTCCCAGGCGAATTGCCGAACGTCTTCGCAATGAAGCTGCGGAAATACTTGCGTGGCAAAGGCTTGGAGGACGTCCGGCAGCTGGGAATGGACCGCGTTGTCGTCTTTCGGTTCGGACAGGGCGAGGGTGCGCTGCATTTGATCCTGGAGCTCTACGCTAGCGGCAACCTCGTGTTGACAGACGCCAATTATCTCATTTTGGCGCTCCTGCGCACCCACCAGTATGACCAAGGCCCCGAGAAGGCCGTGGACGGGGAAGTTGTCGGAAAGGACGCGGAAGCCGGGGCCGGTACGGTGGAAGGCCGCGTGGAGGAGAGTGGGAGGGTGGTGCGGGTGGGACATGTCTACCCGCTGGCATTCGCCAGTAACGCCCTTGCCGCCACTCGCTCCAGCGCGGGGGTCGAGAAGGATGCGGGCGCCAAGCAGGACCCCCCCCCGTGGCTGGCAGTGACGGCGGAGACCGTGCTGGCGGCGTTGCGGGAAGTGGTGGTGCGGGAGAAGGGGAAGGCGGGGAAGGAGGGAAACGGGACGTCGTCCATGGCCCAGGGGGGCAAAAGGGGGAGGACGAAGCGGGGCGGGCAAGCAGGCGCCAGTGCTCGGAGCAAAGTGAACCTGAAGATGGCGCTCATGACCAGCAAAACGCTCGACTTGAGCGCCCTCGGGCCCGCCATCGTCGAGCACGCCGTCCTGGAGGCCGGGCTTCGACCTCTGCTCAGGCTGATGCCCCCTGCCTCGGCTGTGGCGCTGGGAGAGGACGAGGAGGAGGGGGAGGGGCAAAGGGAGGGTCTGACGGAGGAGGAGGCCGCGAGGCTGGCGGAGGCGGTGCAGGGGCTGGATGGCCGGCTCAGGCGCCTAGACCTGCCGGGGCAGGAGGGCTATATCCTCTGCCGGAAAGCGGATGGGGCGGGGACGCGGGGGGGCGAGGAGGATGAAATTATGTACGAGGAGTTTCATCCACTTCGGTTGCGGCAGCACGAGCGGGTAGGTCGGGGGGGAGGTCGGGGGGGG